AAAGGATCCAGTTAGCATATGTCCCTTGAAGGGTCCAATAATTTGGAACAAAATCCAATTTTACTTTTTCTCCACCAAATTCTGGAAGGCAGACCAATTTACTTTGATCCACTGTAAAAGGTGTCATTCCTTTCTTGTATAGCTGCATTTTATGTTTAGAGAAAAGTGGTGAATAGCTGTCTTCTAAATGGTGCATAAATATAACACCTGCATTCTTCATTACTGGCCATGCTAGCTGGACTACTGGGAATTATAAAACAGCAACACCTGACAGGCCATCTAGTATTAGGACTGTTTTTATTTCAGCAAAACCCAGTACAGCTAAAAACACATGACGTCATCTATTCAGGTACAAAGTCCACAGACTAATTTTGCAGAGATCAGCCAGTGTCTGGGCTTGACCATTCACCGACATTTCTAAATAAATATCTACTTAAAAAAGGTCTGTCAATCACTGATAAAGAGCTAGAACCTCCAAAGTGAAGGAGCTGACCAAGCCAAAAGCAATTGCTCCAACCATTGAATAGCTCCCCAGATATATGAGCAATGCCAGCGTAAACCCCATGAGCTGTTAGGGTTTTCTGACTTGCCACCAAGTCAATGCCAGCTCTTGGGAACCACACAAATAGACCCATACATAGATAGACCTGTTCTGTAATACTGCTGTCTCTATTCGAGAGGAGGTTGGGTGAATATGCTGGTATATTTCTGCTGGAGAGTGTATAACAGGATTGTGCATGCTTAAAATAATTATTTGCACAAACTCCAAAGGTTTCAGAACTTACATGAGTCCTCCTCATTAAAGCAGGCCAATTTTTTTTCAGCCTTTGTCCAAAGCATTTCTTCCACATCATTTTCAAAGCTTGGATAGCTGTAATAATTATGTTTTTCAATGATAGCTAAATAAACAGAATTAATAAATCTTTTGGTTAAACTGGGTAAAGTTTGTGGATCAATGTCTTTATAACTAGTATGTGTATATATAGTTATTGCAGGCCTTTGATTGCAAGCTGCAAATCTTAATTTGCCTTTTATCATTATCCTGTTGTGTCCATCCTCAGGATCTGAAGAAGCATTTGATGTTGTAAAGTTGAAAACAAAATCTTTGGGCAATGGCATCATTTTGGTCGAGTTTGAATCCATTCAGTCAGATTAGTCCAAGTGCTTTCTCCTTCCAGGAGCCTGATGACCACCAGTCTCCATTGTGTCCGCCTCTTTGTCATTCTTGCACATTCTTCATAACTTAAAGCGGTCCAGTTATATACTTTGCTACTCTGTCTCTTTGCCATCTCCCGTTTCTTTTCCTTTCTACTCTCCTTTCTAGCAGCATCCTTTGTATAGAGTTGTATCTGGGTATATGCCCTAAATATCTCAGTAAGGCTGGATCTTTTGTCACTCCAAGGGATTGTCAAGATCCAAGGGTGAACCACAAATGTTTCATTTCATGCTTGATTACATATTGTTTCACTTTAACTAAGCATTAAAAAAATAAAACTCATTCTAACCTACCTCCAACCACGTTCGTCGGAGGTTACATTCCCTTCATTTAATATTGGCATAACAGGTGAAAACAGGAAGAACAAGAAAACATCTATCAAGTCTTCCTACTCACGCCTTAGTAGTTCCTCCGAGAAGCCAAAGTAACGGATTTCAGTGGGAGGACCAGACTTACTAGCCGAAGTAAGGATCAACTCTAAAGGCAAGAAGCCTTCCTTTCGGGCACCCGTCCAGAAAAAGCACCGCGAAGACTCAGAAGACGTTTCCATTTAGGTCCTGAAGCCACGTCGAAGGCTACTGTGTAAACATCGCTTTTTGTTCGGAAAAGCAAGGGATGGGAGGAGGCGAGATTGATCTCTCTCTCTGTCACTCACACGCGCACACACACACTCACGGAGAAACACGCCCGCTGTTCTCCTTTCTTAACCCTGAAAGCACGAAGTCCTGCACGGCTAACTGTCATCTTCGCTGCTCCTGCAATATCAGCGCTCTTCAACTTACCAATAATCGGCCGCTCGTTCTCACTCCGCAGCACAAAGGAGGCCCCGGACCAGCAGAAGAAGCCGAGAAGCCCCAAAGCCCCGCGAACTTGCAGCCCCCTCGCCATGCCCGGCGCTCGCTCCGCTCCGCTCTCGAGCCAAAGGAGCCCGCTCGGCGAACGAGCTCCAAGCACCCAGACGCGCCTCAGCTATTGAGACCCCGCCCACTTGTGATGCCTCTCCGCAGCCAATGGCACGCTGGGAAATGTAGTCCAGAGAGAGCCGGTCCCCTTCCCTCCCTTCTTCAAGCGTCAGACGTTACCTCCCAGAACGAGTTGTTTTAAAGGAAGAAGAGAGGAAGATACCTGCGCGGATGTTAGGGAGCGCCAAACACCTTATTTAGGAATGGGTTCTTCTACCCGCGCAAGAAGTAAGGAAATCTCTCGGAAATTTAAAAAAAAAAAAGCTATCTATCCCCAGAACAGCTACCCTCAAAATTGATTAGGTAAATGATATTGCAACAGCTGATTTGACTGATGGCTTATATCGATGGTCAACACCTGTATATAACAAACAAAGAGAGGAAAATCAAAGTGGGTGTAGAGACAGAGCAGAGTAGTAAAATTTATGAAGTTTAGGATAGATTCCTAACTTTGCTCTTACATGCAGTACAAGAATGTGTGTGTTACTTAGTACATTTAAATACACTACTAAATATAATAGGTTTGGCACTCTAACAAATAAGCCATTAACAGACACACTGAGACACACACTCCATCTATAAACGATTCAACAAAGAGCACAACCCAAGTTCAAGGAAAGGTGCCCTAAGCACATCCTCACTCATCACACTCTTATTAACTCAAATAAGCAGGAGCAATCAAGGAAGAAACAATACCCCATTCAGAGAGCATTCAGGAAGAAGCAATATCCCCATCAAGGTTGGTAGGACAAGCTACCATATATAAAAAGCCAGCGATTCTCCCATGCACTGATGCTGTGACTTAGGCTGGTAGTGAAATGTGTGTGTGAAGAAAAGCAAGCTGAGAGAACACCAAGAACCAGTCAGTTCAATCCTGAGCTCCACATATTCTTCACGAATACGTCCATATGTCTCCCTAATTAGACCTTGATGATACCCAGGAACCATTCTTTTAAGGACATCCCCTCACAACAGCCTTCCTCCCATACCCATAGGTGAGGCCACCTAACTCCATATTTGTTTGTCCCAATGTTAAAGTGATTGTGCCCCATTTTATCCCAATACAAGCCTTGCTAAATGCACAAGCGGCGGTACTTTCGTGGGGACATGGTGGTGATGCAGCAGGGCCTGTGGTGTTCTGTTGTTTTTGTGGCAAGCAAGAGAAAGACAGACAAGCAGAGTGAGCAAGAACAAGGAAAAAGAGAGAGTACACAAGAAAAACCAAGAGCGAACAACTGCACAAGACAGACAAGTGGGCAAAAATCTGTGGATCATTCTTGGGGTACCTAGAAGCTGCAGCACTGTTCCCAAGGGTGAGTTAGGGCTTCCCAGAAAAGCAGAAGTAGAAACCCTCCATCTGTTCCCCAGATTAAATTTTGACAGGTGTAAATTAAAAAGCAATAAAAAAATTAAAACTTTTTATTTTTCATATCTTTCTTTTTCTTTATCTCACTTTTCCTTTTCCTTTCCTTTATATTTTGTATTTCCAATTTTCTTTTTCCTTTCTAACTTTTAAATTTGTAACTTTAAAATTTCAATAAAATATTATTAAAAAAAAATAAAAAGTTTTGACAGGTGTTGTCATGTTAAAACTCATCTCTCTCCCAGTGGTTGGTGGATTTTTTTTCTTTTTTTTGGCTAGCAGGAAATCCGCTTTCCTTAAGTTGACCCACAGCATCCTTTACTGTCCTTGTTACTTGGGCAGATTAGATTTCAGCTATTGGGACAGAACAAATTATGCCAACATACTTTTGGGCCATCGTGTGGATTACAGGACGTGTTAAAGCAGCAGCCTCCCCCGGGCACCTCTTCTGGGTTGCAAAACAAGTTTGTTTTGTTGCCATGTAATGGGTGCCTGGATTTTTGCAACTTAGACTTGGCATCCTTAGGGGTATCCCGCCTGGCTCCTATCCTGGTTGTCCACATGGAAAGAGGGGAAGATGAGGGAGGAGTATATTTTAGAGTAGTAACAGCCAATAGCATGCACTTCTTCCTTCCCTCATAAAACACAGTTGCCTCGCACAGAAAGCTATCAATGAGTGATAAGAACTGGTTAGATCATATAAGACAGGGTTCCTCAACCTCAGCAACTTTAAGATGGGTGAACTTCAACTCCCAGAATTCCCCATCCAGCATGGCTGGCTGGGGAATTCTGGGAGTTGAAGTCCACCCATCTTAAAGTTGCTGAGGTTGAGGAACCCTGATATAAGATCTCTCTCTAAAAGGAGGGGAGAATAATACAGAAATTTACATTCTGTGGCTTTATGTGGCTTAAACACTAAAAATTTGTTGTACTTTGGTAAAGGAAAGATTGACAAGTGTTTGAAATATCCGTTTCTGCTTGGTTCCTGTTATACTATATAGTATGTTTTTCTGGCTGGTTCTTTTTTTCCTTTGTTTCTTGGTTCTCTTACTTTTTAAACCAAAAGCTGCCCAGAGTCATCTGCAGTTGGGTGGCCTTTGGATTTAATAAAATCAATAAACGCAGTGGTGACAAGCAAGCCAGTATTTATTTATTTATCTATTAAATGTGTATTACAAGATCAGCTTTGGGGTTGCCAATAAGCCATGTTCAGAATGCCACAAACAAGTTCCAGAAAATTGCCGCTGTCCCTAGAACCCTGCAGTCATATGGAAAGCTGCTGAAATAAAAAGTCATTCTCTCTGATCAAGAGTCCATGTCATGCATTGCATATGAATGCATAATGAAGCAACATGACAATTGCCACTACGAAATTGGAGGCATAAACCTTTGTAAGATTTGAGTCAGTCAGAATGACACATTTTCCCATGCCATCTACTAACTGGGATGGGCTTCTGTTTTCCTCCAAAGTATGCATACACAGGATGTTGAGTGGCTTTCAAATGTATATTTTACATACAAAACACACACACATTATTACATAGGAATGCACTTCATACATAGGAACTTGCATGCTGAGCACATGACAACAGCATTTTGGGCAGCTGTAAAGTCAGAAGCATACAATTCTGGATGGAAGAATTCGAAGTTCTTTGCTCATCTAGTTGGAAAATATCCAATGCTAATATAATCCAAAGCTTACTGAATAAAATACATTTAATAAAAAGCTTCATATTATTAAAACTTTATTATTTGTTAATAGTTTTGAATTTTTCTATTAAAAATACCCAGAGTAATTTATATAAAAATGCAAACTGCATGTTAGAACTGCAAAGGACAACTAAAAAAGTATAACACCAGCATCTAAAGTATACCACTATTGAGTTAATTGATTTCTTTATATTGCATTTTATGCACACTAAATCCCATTGTTCTTGTGGGTTTTGCTCCAAGAAAAGTGCTTATGCTTACAACTTTAAAGTATTTGTTTTCAGTTTCTTAGCTGATTTAACAATTTGCAAAATAGTCTTTGTCTGGTAAACAGACTCATTCCCATAGAAATATAAACTTTAACATTAGTAAAAAGTATAATCAGAATAGGAAAGCATGGTACATAGAAAGGTACAAAGAAAACTCAGCAGCATGAATGTTCTGTCTTTTTTGATGCAGTAAATATATATTTTTGTTTTTAGTTTTGTTTTGTTTCAGTTTGCATGCTTATCTGAGAGTAAGTGTCATAACACTGTAGAGCAGTCTTTCTCAACCCTGGCAAAGTTAAGATGTGCCAATTTCAACTCCCAGAATTCTCTAGCTACCATAGGAATTGAAGCCCACATAAGTTGCCAAGGTTGAGAAACACTGCCGTACAGGACTTATTTCTGAAGCTGTTTTTACTTTCTGTGCTCCCCATACTGGCTCTTCTCCGCAGTTCTTCCCACTAGGATTTTGGATCATGTGAGTGAAGTAGCCAAGATTCTGTCCAAGCATCCCTCTTTAGGGTATTGGTGGAAATCATCTCTTGACGCTGTGCCAGACATACTAATTTGGGATCACTGGGGAGATACCACTGGAAATGCTGCTCAATTACCCGGTTCTGGGGTCCTTCTGTGTTCATGGATTCTCCTCCTGCTTCTCAGCTGGTAGCCACACATGCTGTCTGTCTTTTTTTTTGCTGGCAGTCTGGGGCAGTCTGTCAAAGGATATAACAATCACTGCTGCCCAGATGCCTTAAGCCCTTTCTGGTTCTGCAGTAGTTATGCTTACTACAAGGTTAGAAGAAGGAGTATATAATCTTTGTTTGGAAGGCTGTTGCATGGCCTTCTTGGAGACATTGCCCTTCTGCAAGCCAGCTCTGTTTCTCTTTGTTCTTCCCAAAAGTGGGCACAGACACTGGAGCCCGCTGAAAGCTAGTGCTTTCTGTGGGCCAGCTTTTTTCAAGAAGACTGAAGGCTTTTCCTTCCCAAGGAACTGGAAAGTTCTTTGCGGGTGTGAAAATTAGCACTCACAGTCAGAGAAAAAGAATGTGACAGCAAACTTAATGTTGCAAAATCAAGGCACAGATGGAAAGCAACCCGCCTGTAAAAAAGGGAAGGGTGATGAGTTGGGAAGCCCATTAGGTAGGGTAAGAAAGAGAAGGAGTCAGAAAAGGGCTTGAATATTGTTTCTATAGAGAAAGCTTGCTCATGAAAGGCAGACATTGCTAGATTTCTTTATGAGTTCCTAACTTTTCTTCAATAAAGATTTCTAACCAATAAAAGAGAATACATGTAGCTCAAGGTTGAACTGTGGAGTCCTTGGGGTTCTCTGAGCTTGGTTGTTTTCTTGCAGATGTTTCGTTACCCGGCTAGGTAACATCTTCAGTGATGTAACCTAGCCTTGTAATGAAATGTTTGCAAGGAAACAACAAAGCTCAGAGAACACCAAGGACTCCACAGATTTCTAACCAGAACATCTTGTATTTGGGAGCTTGCCAGCTTGGTTCCAGTCCTACCTGTTGGGTGGAGTCTTAAACTTAATCCTTTCCTGTTGGCTCCTGGAGACTGTGAAAAACCTACTCTCTGCAACTAGCAGAAGGGGGGGATATAATTCAGTCTATTCCCTCAGTAAAAGAGAAGGGTTTGCAAACTGATCCTGATGTTTATTTCCAATCCTTTTCCATATAATCAATCTCTCTCTCTTTCTTCCTTTTGTGCAAAAAGAAAGGAAAAAAACTGATCAAAAATCCCAGGAAACCGAAATGGAAATTATTCTCAGGTGAATATAACACGATAGCCTTAAAGTGATTTCTGTTAAAAATGCTATCATTTTCAGTTAACAATGTTATCCAACACAGATAAGGATGCTTAGATGTATGTATATATACTACCTACTCATTATTTCAAATTGTATTTCATCAAATATTTCCTTTATAGTATCTGAAAAAGTATTTAAAAATTGAGGAATGTTTCTGCTACCAACCTCCAGATCTCATTCAGATGCATATTGTGTCCAAATTGTTATAATAATGTGCCTCTTGTCAGAATAGCATTAGTGTCTTTCTCGTATGAATAATATTTTTATAATTTTTGCTTATAGCAATTGAACCTCCCAAACCCATATTCTTGAGAATTATGTCAAGAATTATGCCTTACAGGAACAAAAGCTAAGATTCAAAAAATATCAGTAGTAAAGAAGAGTAATTACTATGCCAATTGTTACCTAGCTGCTTATTAACCCCTTGTGAGTTTGCATCATGAAATAACATCGTAAGCTCACCTGAGAGGAAGTCCCATTAAATGCTACGGGTACATTTACACAATGTATCAAAACATATTGTATGAGTTTTAAACCACAGTGGTTAAGCACAAACTAAGTAAATCATGCCTATGTGAATCAGACCATCACATTATACCTTAATAGGGTTTGTTCTGACATAACAGGTTATGCAAACATAGCAAATTTTATCTATGTTAACCAAAGAAACTTCTGTTGGGTAACACAGTCGATAGCACTTAATTCTAAGTAGGCACATATAGAGCTAAGAAAGAACCCACTGAACACAGAGGCTCACTGTGGAGGAAACATGCACATGTTAATACTCTGAATACATCATCACTCACAGGGAGTCCAAAACACTTATTGCACAGAAGGCAGAAAAATAGGGACAGATCTGAGTACCAGATATGAACACAAGAAACAGGGCATTGGTATTTCACCATGCTTGTGAGCTTCTCCAGGACATCTAGTTGGCCACTAGGAAAATATATGGTCTGACCCAGCAGAAGCTATCTTTACAGTTTGGCAGGCTGAGTTTCAGCAGGTGGGGCCATTAGCCTTTTAGAATTGTATAACATTTTCTAGGGAGGAAACAATTCTCTTTCACATAAAATGTACATGTATTGTGAGACGTTCTCATTTTGTTCTCTAGTAACCTTATTCTGAAATCACAACACCTGACATTGATCCAAAAGCAATTTTGCATTATCTAAGTTAAATCTATACGTTGACTTAGCATCAGGTGATAGAAAGGGGTCGAAAAGTGTCTGTAATATATATATATGTTTTAAAATGCAGTTGGTTGTTTCTTTTGGGGATGGGGGTTCCAGGCTAATACAAATTTTCTATGACCTTTGGATCCTGCAACCTGAATCCTTAACTTCATCAGTACCTCGTTCTGGTTAATAATCAAGCAATTCTGTTCCTCCAGATATAGTTTACTCCATGTCAGTGGGCTATGCATGGAAAGAAACACTTTGAAGATAATCTGCAGATTCCATTAAAAAGTCAGTCGTTTCTTTAGAAACTTCTTCGATAGAGGCTGCTTCACCATAATATTCTTCTGGGATAATGCTGGCTGGAAAATGTTTCAGGAGCCCATGTGCAAAGTTATTCCCATGCAGATAGATCTGCAATGAGATAATATCTGGATTCATATATTGTGCTAGGCTACAGATTAGCTTCCCAGATTCACTTAAAATAGTGTTAATCCTTAGTCAATTTATGAGCTAACATTACAAATACATCAAAAGGAAGTATGTTTTTCTGCAAACCAAAAAGTCAGATAATTACATACAATTTAGAAATAAGATCAAGTGAAGATGGATTCCTACACTGAGCAAGAGACTAGACCTGAAGCCCTAAATAGACCCTTTCAACATTATAAATCTATTAATGGAGATCTATACAGAAAATGTATATAAAGTCATACGGAGTTGAGGTAAGTGGACAAGATAGGAAAACAAACTTGTTCCACCCTTCCATCTGAAAGTATTTCTCCCATCCTCTACCCCCACAGCCAGCCAATACAGCTTTAGGTTTAGAATTAACACTATCAAAAAGAAACATACAGACAGATGTAAATGTCATCTATTTTACTGTCTAGTATGTAGGGTAAGATCTCCATTCTCTCAGATTTATATCAGATATAAATGTGTTGGTCAACTTAAGGGCAGAACTACTTTTGAAAATATATGAGGTGGAAGAGATTTCTCCAAGAATGTTTATCTGATTACGTGGTATTAAATGATTACATGGTTGTTCCAGGAAGTGCTGCAAAGGAAAACCAGCCTTTCAGAAGAAACCCATAATGTTGCAATCATGTAGTATAGTTTTACTATGAAAAGAAGGAAATAGCCAAGAAGCTGGGCTACTTTGTGCATTTTCAAAGGTGAGGTTTTTTTCCTGGGAAGGGATAAATGTGAACCATAGATTACTTGGCTGTTATTGATTTTTTAAAGCTACTCCCAGCAATATCTGGGACAACAATCTTTTACATTCCTATCACCAGTAAATAATTATTACACTAAAAAAATAATTAACGGGGATATAAAATAAAATAGCAGGGATATAAAATAAAATAACAGGGACATAAAATAAAATAGAGTTGTTGAATAAGAGAATGGATGTTTTTATTTCAAAAGAAAATATTCTGAGATAGTAGTGGATCAATTTCATAGCAAATAAGAATTGCGCTCACTTACCCGTGCTTTGATTTTTTCAGAGAGGAAACACTTAATTAGTTTAAAAACATGGTAAAAAATCAAAGGTTCATTAATCAGGTGGATTCCACGAACTTTTAGTGGGAAGCTATCCTGCCAAGAGGAAAAAGGGAAATGAGAATCAATGTAAAGTAGGGGTTTGGGTTGGTGGGTTTTTTGGTTTTTTTGTTTTTTGTTTTGGTGCCTTTGAGTCAGTGTTGCAAATGCCAGGACAGGTCCCTGCAGTTTTCTTGGCAAGGTTTTTCAAAAATGGTTTGCCATTGCCTACTTCCTAGGGCTGAGAGAGAGTGACTGGCCCGAGGTCACTAGCTGGCTTTGTACCTAAGGCAGGACTAGAACTCACACTGTCCAAGATTCTAGCCTGATATCATAACCACTACACTGAACTGGCTCTAAGTATAGGAGTGCCAATATCTGAAGGCTTATACTTACATAAGCAAGTCTGGAAAATGTCAACATATTCAATATGCAAAACAATTTCTTTGAAAAGGTTTTAAACTTAATCGTTTTATAAAGACAACCACACCTGCACTTTGAAGCAGGTGTGGATGGTATTTATGAAACAATTCCTGAATACTCAACTGTGGGGAGGGACTAGGGTTGAGAATTGTATCTCCTTTAGACATATCTCTCACCTTATTAAGATCCTGATTATGGAAAACAGAAGGGTATGGTTAAGTTAACTCAAGCAGTTGTCAACTGAAGTGCAGAGTATGGAGACAATGTGAAGTTATCAATTACAAGCCCAAGATAGGGCACATCTTTGCTTTATAAGCCAACAGTGCCTTAAGCAAGCCACAGTGTCAGAAAATCCAAGATGACCACCTCAACCTCTATCACAGAACTATAATAATACAGGAGGAACCTGAAGAGAAAGAAGACAGCAGTGCTTGTGTCCATGCAAATCTGAGCACCTTTCTTCTTCATACCTAGCTGACTATATAGAAGAGGGAGAGAAAACAAGATGGGGGCAGCATGTCTGCCATATTCTTTACTCAGTTGGAGAGGGTGTAAGCCTTTTTGAATTGTAGCATAAAACTATACTGAAAAGATGCTATTTATCTGCTTCAGTTCAGTTATCTGCTTTTAGTTCTTGGAAATTACCACAATATACTGCAGTGAAATAAATAATCATAAACACTTACTGTGAGTGAAAAAGCTACTTTCCTGGCCACCATTGGAGTGATCTGAAATGCCTGAGCAAATGTCCATCCTTGGAGATCGAAGATCACCTTGACACCATTCTGTTGGGTGTCTAGCTCTCTTGAAATAAGCTCAGATGCCATAAGACTTAGACGAAAAAGATCATCTGTAGAAAATATCTTAGGGTCCCATGATGCTAAATGCAATATACATATAGATGTGTGGATTATTTAACGTAAGGCAATTTTTCCACACAAAATAGATATTTTGTCTTAAGTAAAATTCTGGATTGGGCAGCAAGAATAATGGGCAACATTAAGAAGTCTAATTATTTTTTTTCCCAAGTCTTGGGCATCATGAACAGTTCCAGGCACTAGGTAGCCTTAACTGCAATCTTGATATATTTGTTTTTTTAAAATTGATATGACTTTCCTAGTAACAAGCAATGCACGATAAATATTATGAAGGCCAACATATACATGCAAAGAATAAGAAATACCCATGGTATCTGTACTGTGAAGCTATATTACAATTAAACCAAATTAGGAGTCACAATTTAAATAAAGCCTTACCTTATATTCCAACTTCACAAATTCTATCATAATTATTCTTGCTAAGAAAACAATTACAACAAATAAAGACAACAGAGAGTAATAAGAATTACTAGAAATGTCCACATAATTGATTTCAAAGACTAAGGATGAAATAATTCCAAACGGATGGGACAAGGAAATGAAGTACTGGATGACCCTCCATCAACCTCAAACCTGTCGGTTCTTGATTGGGGGAAGAGCAGGTTTCCTTAGAAAGAGGCCCAGCAGATCTTTGTTTGTTTGTTTTTAATTTTCCCATTCCTGAAACAGGAGAGCAATTAAAGGGCTTGGATAACACAGATGAAAAGCTACCATTGGATTGGACACTCTCAGCAAGCTTCCTACACCTGTGGAATTTTCCCCCAGCAATAATGGTGCATCTAATCTTCTTTCAACAGGTCTCAAACACAGGGATGCACTCTGAACTGTAAGCTTAAATTTTCTCCTATTTTCAAGAGAATTGGAAACTGCTTAACTTCAGCTGGATTATACAGTACTTAAATTTCTTATGGAACACATATCTGAGAGAGACTAAAGTCTAATTTATTACTGAGCAGATGAGCACGTAAATATTTATTTCAACAGGATTAAAACATAGGCCCTTTGTGTTTTGTAATCTACATTTTGCCTTCAAATCTTCCAGGTTGCTGTCTCTTCACTCCCTAGGTTTTATCTGATTATTGCCTTTTGGCTCTTTTTATCTCACAAACACTTCATTTGTGGCCCTGAGAACCTTCTGAAATTGTGTTACTAAAATTCATTCATCTCTAAGCTATCTGACTGAATGTTGGCCAAATATTACTGCCAGTCCCAGTGCAGCCCTAGGCTTCAGATCTCCCCCTTCTTGAGTTTTTTTGAAAATAATCTTAATAAAGATACAAATGTAAGAATGGTTTGGGATGCAAGCAAAGTTTTCATGAGAGGTTACTTTATACAACATAATAGTGAACTCAAAAAGAAGAGGCAAGAGAAAACACAAGCTATTTTGGATGAGATAAAAAGAAAAGAAGAATTAAAGAAGTTTCCAGAGAAGATAGTTATTTCTCAACAAATTAAGCTTCTCCAGCAACAATTATCTATATTAAGAATAAGAGAAATGAATAGTGAACTCAAAAAGAAGAGGCAAGAGAAAACACAAGCTATTTTGGATGAGATAAAAAGAAAAGAAGAATTAAAGAAGTTTCCAGAGAAGATAGTTATTTCTCAACAAATTAAGCTTCTCCAGCAACAATTATCTATATTAAGAATAAGAGAAATGGAAATAAAAGTGTATTGCACAAAACAAAAAAACTTTGAGTTTTCAAATAAACCAGGGAAGTGGTTGGCAGATAAATTACAAAAAGAAAAAGAAAAGAAAATTGAAATTACGAGACAGAGATATTGTAATAACAGATAATGTGGCCATGTAAAAAGTATTTCATCAATATTATTCCAATTGATATAAAGGACAAGAAATTTCCCTAGAGAAAATAGATGAATATTTAAAGAAACAAATTTACCGAAGATTA